TAAACTGGGGGTTGTGATAAATCGGGTGCTGGGATGAAGCGGGTGCTGCGATAAACTGGGGGTCGCAATAAAGTGCGTGCTGGGATAAACTGGGTTTGCAATGAATTGGGTGCTGGGATAAACTGGGCGCTGCAATAAACTGGGTTTGCGATAAACTGGGCGCTGCAGTAAATTGTGTTTGCAAAAAAAAATGGGTGCTGCGATGAGTTGGGTGCTGCAATAATCTGGGTCTGCGATGAGTTGGGTGCTGCAATAAGTTGGGTTTGTAATAAACTGGGTTTGCAAAAAATCGGGTGCTGCAATAAATCGGGCTCGCAATGAAACGGGCACTGGGATAAACTGGGTGCTGCAATAAACTGGGTGCTGCGACAAACTGGGGTATGCAACAAAGTGGGTGCTATGATAAAGTGGGTGCTGCCATAAATCGGGTTTGCGATAAATCGGGTGCTGCGATAAAGTGGGCGCTGCAACAGTGCGAAAAAGTGGGTGCTGTGATAAATTGGGGGTTGCAATAAACTGGGTGCTGGGATAAAGTGGGGTTGCAGGAAACTGGGTGCTGGGATGAACGGGGTGCTGCAACAGTTTGCAAAAAAGTGGGTGCTGCGATAAATTGGGGGTTGCAGTAAAGTGGGTGATGGGATAAAGGGGGTTTGCAATAAATTGGGTGCTGCGATAAATTGGGGGTTGCAATAAAGCGGGTGCTGGGATGAACTGGGTACTGGGATAAATTGGGGGTTGTGATAAACCAGGTGCCGGGATGAAGTGGGTTTGCAGTAAACTGGGTACTGGGATGAACTGGGTGCTGGGATAAGCTGGGGGTTGTGATAAATCAGGTGCTGGGATAAAGTGGGTTTGCCATGTGGGGACACGGGTGGGTGATGGGGACAAGGGTGGGTGGTGTTGACATGGACATGCGATGGGGACACAGGTGTGTGGTGGGGACACGGGTGTGCAACAGGACACGGATATGTGGTGGGGACATGGGTGTGTGATAGGGACATGGATATGTGATGGGGACACGGGTGTGCAACAGGGGCATGGGCATGTGGTGGGGACACGGGTGTGTGATGGGGACACGGGTGTGCAATGGGGACATGGGCATGTGGTGGGAAGACAGGCACGGGATGGGGACAGGGACATACAGCAAGGACATGGACTTGTGATGGGGACACAAGGATATGATGGGGATATGGGCGTGCAACAGGGACAGACGTGCAACAGGGACACGGATGTGTGGTGGGGACGTGGACATGCGATGGGGACACAGGCTGGGGAAGGGGACGGGTACGCGATGGGGACACGGAGGCGCAGTGGGGACATGGGCACGCACTGGAGATGTGGACGCGTGATGGGGACACGCGTGATGGGGATGCAGATGTGCAACGGGGACATGGGCATGGGATGGGGACACAGATGTGAAGGGGACACACGCTGGGGACACAGACACACGATGGGGACATGGGCATGGGATGGGGACACAGACATGGGATGGGGACACACATGATGGGACACGGCTGCGCGATGGGGACATGGCCATGCGATGGGGACCCCCCACGTGCAACGGGGACACAGCCCTCATGGGGACAGGGCCATGCGATGGGGACAGGGACACACGTGATGGACACTCAGCCACGTGACGGGGACCCTGCTGTGCCACGCGCACGTGGGGGCCGTGCCAACGTCCCCCAGCCCCGGGTTGGTGCCAGTGAGGTGACGCCCCACGGGACCGGTGACCAGGGCAGGGGGGAGCTGGCACGTCCCCAGGGGGTCACATTGGTGACCGCGCCGGGGGGGGACACACACAACATTTCCCTCCCATCCTCGCTTGGCCGAGCCCGGGGGCGAAGGTCTCAGTGGGGAAACTGAGGCACGGAACGGGTGTGTCCCCCCCCCAGATCTCTCCAGCACCGCAGGATGAAGGCTCTCCTCCTCCTCCTCGCCCAGCTCTGCTCGGCGTCGCTGGTCCCCGGTAGGTGAGGTTGGGGGGTGGAAGGGGGTGCACCCCAAAACTGGGTGGTGTTGGGTGCTATGGAGCCCCGGTTTCCCTCCGCCCGCAGAGAGGGAGAAGGACCCCGAGTACTGGCGGGGA